AGCGATTGCTCCTTAATAAAACTACATATTTTGTTTCATTTTTTAGTGTCACATTTTATCTCTCTGCTGTTCTATAAAGCAGAACTCACTAAATTAATCATCTTTTTTTGGAAGGAATCACAAGTTTTTAGGGGAAGGACTTTTTTTTTTCTTTGCCAATTAAGACGGGTGATATGTGACATATATCTAGTTTTTCCTGCTTAAAATTATACGAATGAATGGAAATGAGTTAACATGTTGTTGCATTTGATCACTGTACAAGTAGTTTTTATGACAGCTGGGTGTCAAAACTTTTTCAGTTTGCAGAAAGTGCATACATGATAAGATTTCTGATGATGAACTAGAAAGCTGTCCAGTATGTAACATCGACCTTGGGTGTGCCCCATTGGAGAAATTAAGGTAAGATTTGTAATTTCGTAATGCCACTGCCTTTCACCTACTCCTTTCCCAGTCTTTATTTGCGCTAATACGATCTTTGAGTCTGCATTTTTGTAGTTGTTTCTAGTGATTCGACATAGATATGAAGTTCTATTTTCCTAGATTTGCAGATGTCAACAAAACCTTTTTAGTTGTTTTTGTGCCTTTTCCATGGGATTATCTGAAGAAAATATATGATTCTTTTGATATAAACATGATATTCATTCCACGACATAATTGGTTTTACCAGTCGGTACATCAATGCACGATTTTTAATTAATCAAACAAGCATTTTAGCACAGCCATACCCCATTTTTCTGCTTGTTATTAGTTTACAATTTGGATGTTATGGAATTGGCTGAATGAGATCAAAAGCTACCATTTATTCACAGTTCTTCACAAAATGTAGATTATGACATTCTTTATTTCTTCATTTTCAAAATCTCACGATATAGAGTTTTTAGTAAGAATTCACAAGTCGTCGAGAGAATTTAAACTTGAGCTTCTAATCATCAGGCCAGACCACAATCTAGAAGATTTAAGGGCCAAGATTTTCCCTAGTAGAAGGAGAAAAGCCAAAACGCCTGAAGTTGCTCCTGTTATACTACCACCAGTTAGAAGAAAGGAAAGATCACTTTCCTCATTGGTGGTCAATAGTCCCAGAGTGTCAAGTCATGCAACCACAAGTGGAAGAAGAACAGCAGCAGCTGCTGCTAGAATTGCTGCTATCTTACGAACACCAAGAGTCTCCTCTGAGAAGCGTGTGAAGAAAGAGGATGATTCCATGGAAGACTGTTCAGAGAGCTCGAGTTCCCTTGAGACATCAGAAAAGTTCAATCAGAACAAAAGACCGGTAAAGGAAGAAATTTCTGGTCCCAATTCAAGGTTGTTTTTTCCCCCATCAGGAGCTTCTGTTTAATAGTAACATTTTGTCTTAATATTGGACTTAGTGCAGGATTCCAGTCCTTCCAAGTCTACCATATCTTTGCGAAATAAAGAAGTCGAAAATGGCGTTGACTCAATGGAAGGAAACATGGATATCTGGAAACCTTTAAATTACTTGGTAGAAGTTGCAAATAGGAGTAAATGTTTCAAATCTAATTCAGAGAATAAAGTCGAGCTTGCGGAAGTCGATGGGAGTGAAGCTCAGGCCAGTAAGTCTAGAAATAGGGAAAGCAAACGCAAGCAAAAACGTGAGAATGGAAAAACTAGAACGGACCCAGTATCTCCAGAAACTGAAAAACCTAAGAAACTGCGTAGGGTTCGCCAGAAAAAGGAACCTTTTTATGGGAACTCCAGCATTACACCCCAGGTTGTGTTGGATGCCACTAGTGCTCGGCTTGAAAGAAGAGCTGGTCCAATTTGGCTTTCACTCATAGCTTCTGATCAGTGAGACAAACTCTGTTCCCTACAAAATGCTCGAAAACTAAACAAATTTCAACGAACATTTATGCCTTTACTTAACTACACTTTGGTTTCAGGGAAGGAGATGTAACGTTGCCGCAAATTCCTGCTAGTTATCTGAGAATAAAGTAAGTTCCTTTTAGCTTCATTCGATATAGACAAGCTCTACTCATCCTTACTGTAGTTGTCAAGTAACCTAATCGTATTATATACGGGTGTACAAGAGTAACTTTCATGCCCGTTTTCAAATTTTCCAGAATAGAATTCTTTTCAGCGTTTCAAAAAATTATCTGAAATTTTGAGCTGTCTAAACTATTTGTCAAGTTTCCTCATGAATCTTGTGCAGGGTTATTATGAGGGAATAGTTTTTCTTGTATCTTAGACCAGGAAGGAGCCTCAAATGATAATTTTTTTGGGGCTTCAAATTCGTGACATTTTGACCAAGGATATATGTTTAACTGACTGAACTATGATTAGGTTGGTACTCCCATCGACACTTTGGTTGTCATTTGACTAACCAACTTTATATTAGCTTGCACGTAAATTTGTACTAATGGTTGCGAGTAAATTGATACTCAAATGAAGCTAACTTCTACTGACATGTTTGCTCGTCTCTGTGTGTGTGTGTGGAAGAATACTTTTACTGAGTTGGAGTTGAAATTATATCATAATCTTTGTGGCAGGGATGGAAACTTGCCAGTATCATTTGTCCAGAAGTACCTTATGAGAAAGCTGGACCTCTCCAGTGAATCAGAGGTGAAAAAGCTCATATCCTCTAATTTAGTTGAGATTCTTGTTTCATTTTTATAAAATGGCTTAAGCTTGTTGCTTCTTATTGTGCAGGTTGAGGTGAAGTGCATGGGACATCCAGTAGTGCCCACACTGGATTTGCATAGCTTAGTTGATTTGTGGCTTCAAACAGCAGCAAACTCCGAAAAGATCTCAGCATCAATTGGGTCGTCAGCTGAGGATTTCATTATGGTTCTTTACTATGCTAGAAAGATCACAGTTTCTTGATCTTCAATTTCCTTCACATTGCTGCCTTCAACCTTCAATCTGCATTTAAGGGTCTTCACACCGTTCGCTCTCTTCCCGGCAAAAGCTGCTGAAAAGGCCCTGAAATGCTTATTATTCAATCACAGTTGAGTATCAATTACTGCACCAATCCTAGTTCCTCAAAAGCTTGTTAGACTTAATCATAAACATTTTAGGGTAAGCAACACAGGTACGCATGGGAGTGGCATAAACACAATGGAAATTCCTTTTACACCACATCATCAAATAAAGGCAACAACTAATTTATTTAACCAAGTGGTGTTGGGTGTAATGAAATATTTGACCATTAGTACCTCCCTCAGCAGTTGCTTTTACTTTGGTAGAAGATGTACTTGAATTGTGTAGCCAATACCAAATTTGCATAATTCTAATAGAGCTCTCTCTCTCTCTCTCTCTCTCTCTCTCTCTCTCTCTCTCTCAACTGATGCAATTTCTTTTTAGAGAACTCGTAGGATACAGATTCCAAAATTGGAACGAAGTATAGGATATAAGACAGAGCCTATAGAAGATCTTTGTGCAAAAGTGGCTCCCATTTCTCAGGTTCCATGTGTTCTCAAAGTCTGCATGTTACCAGATATGCCTGAAATGAGGTGAGTGCGAGAAGGGGTTGTGTGTGTCCAAATTTGTGCGGAAACATGAGAATCAAAAAGTGGGTAGCCTGTCAGTTTTGTTGTGATGCTTCCATTTTAGATACAACTAAAACTCCTCTTCCCTTTTTCAGCAAAACCCCTCCGTGTCATGCTCTTTAATTTAACCCTTTCATTTACTATTACGCCAAACCTTTTTCTTTTCATATCATAAAAGAGAAGGGATTCAAATTTATTCTTTTTAGTCGAAGTATGTTGAGAGAGATCCAAGAAGAAAAGGCTACCAATATATTAAAATTGAAAAAGAATTGAGGAATCAAACAACCACAGAGAGATGAAACAGATGAGGGGAATATCAAGAACTCTTCCTATTTACTTGAAAAAGGTATTCTTCCTATATTGTGCATCAGTTCTTCCATACTCAACGACAAGGAAAACAAGTGTTTGGAATCCAACCAGTTGCCAACTTCTAAAGCCTTTCAAACCCATACTCCCAAGGAACAGATCAGAGAAGGTAAAGGAAAACAAAACTATCGCTATCACTCACACCTACAAACAGCTCATGAATACAATTTCAAAGATCTGGAAAGTCAAAAACAGCTTCTATGACCAACCAAGTCACAACTCAGAATGAATTTGTATCAAAATAGATTAGATTAGCAGCTGTTGAATTCAACTCGAATACAAGGCAAGAGCAAGAGTTGTATTAGCAACAATCTCAAATCACACCTGCTCAAGTACCCACATCAATCAACTTCCATCCCGAACCAGATAAACCATTGGAAGCAGCATGGACATGGGAATGTGATGAAAATTCCTAGACCTGAACTAAAAATCCTAGGTGCTAAGCTTCGTTATTGTTCCACAAAGCATTCACAGTTCACCCGCTTCAATGCAAGCTGCCCATGTGGCAAGAATCAAGACCCAGAACTAAGACAATCACCATGTGAAAACCAGTTATTAGTTTAAGCATCTTCACTTGGGATCCATGATAAAAGCATAGTCAGCGTACAACTAAATAATCATCACTTTAACTTTTTCTCACATGGGAATCTGAAAGATGGCATAAAGTCGGATCATTTGGAAAGTGAACCAGAAGTTCTTCCTAGAAAGGAAAAAGAAAAAAAGAAAAAAGGTTAATGGTAGATGATCCAGCTATTAAGCTGAGCCATCCCATACTTGCCCTACTGATCAACATCAAAACTCTATCCATCTACAATTCGACAAAGATGAACATCCAATCAAGAAATGTCGAACCAAAGCATTTCAAAACCTAACAAACATAAGAATCATTATTGGCATCACATCCTGTCACAGATTAAATCTCAGCGAATGTTCTCTCTGAAACTTTGAAAAGGCTCATCTAATGCTATCTAGTATCTATTCTTCACAATCAACTTGAATTCATACAATTCAGAGTAAATGATGGATTAAATTTATAGTCAACGTTATATGCCACTGAAGTTCATATGAATCTACAAGTATATCCAAAAACCTTCCAGTACAACGAAGAGAAGGAACGCCAAAAAAAACAACAAAAAAATGTCAGAAATAGTATGTATTAACAAGACATTGAAAACCAAATTAAGATCCACTATTTGCCATTTCTTTCTTCCTTCCAAAAATAAAGACCACACCAAACCCAACATTGCAACCAAATCACACCCAAATAAAAGTAGTGTCGGAATAAAAATCTAGGATTTAACATAGCAAAACTCTGTGTACCGCTACTGTAAACTAACACTACATGTACAAACATTTTGAACAAATGAGAAATAATTAAAAAGCAAAGCCCTGAAATTCAATGGGCATAAAAAATGGTCGCCAAATCAACTCAGAGGTGTAGCAAACCGAATTTCCTGGTGACGGCGAGAGAGAGAAGCTGGGTTCCTTATTATGGTCATTCGAATTTTGAATTGGGCAGCAAGATCAATCACCGTTTGAATGAAAGAAGCGGTCAATGGAAAATCTCGAAGAACTTGGATCGGACGAGGCGAGATCATCATCCATAACCTAGCAAAAAACGAACCAGTGATATCTCTAGACTCGGCTATACCCTGTCCGAGTCGGACTGCCGACAACGGAAAGCAATCCTCCATCGGCGACTTCTTGCTCGTCGATGTACAAATCCTCCGTAACTCTAAAGGCGGCGTGTGTCAGCACAAGAAAAACCCCAATCAAAATCGAAAGCAATACATTGAACGACACATCCGTCAACACCAAGACGACAATCGTGACCAATCCAAGCACAGCCAACACAACTCGATCATCAACGACACGATGAAACAACTCCAGCGGCTGATCTCGGAAAAAGTAAAGGAAGAACCAGGCAACGAACACGATCAAGAACACGATCAAGGAAACAGGGTGCCAGAGGAGGCTGAAAAAGAGAATGAGCAGGACGACGAGAGTGTAATTGGAGCGAAAGTATTTGAGATTGCGCTTACAACGAATTGATGCTTCGCCAAGGGATGAAGGGCGAGTGAAGGAGGAGAGCGGCTGGAGAAGCTCCCGCCATGGGCGTAAAGTGGCGTAAGCGGAATCGGAGGTCAGAATGGAAGTTTCAGTGAAGGCATATGGAGATGGGTGGACAGTGGACATTGCAGAGACAATAAAATCCCAACAGGAATTGAGCGTCGGCAGTAGAGAATTTAAGAGGGGTTTTAGAGAGAGAAAGGAAATGGGGAGTCTCGCTTTCAAGTGTGAGAGGGAGAGAGAAGCTTTGCCTTTTATGCTTTGTTGTATTTTATATGATTACATAAATTATTAAGATATTTTGAAGGTAAATCATGTGTTATTAAGAATTTAAGAGGGGTTTTAGGACGGTGGTGAGATCTATCGAGATCTTAGGTCAGTTATAGATCGTGGAAATTTTTATTTATTAGACGCATTTTAAAATTACGAGGGTAACAACCGAATATAGCAAGCAATAATGTTATAGTAAATTTGAATATTCTCATATTTATATTATTAACTAAAAAATAGTTATAAACATTACTGTGGAGTTTGGTTATTGAGAAGTTAAAATATCAAATTAATTAGGTTAGTCACCCATTTTACATTCGCATTTTGACTCTTTCTAGTGTTCAACTTTATTATTTTAGCGTTAATTAGTTCGATCAATTGCTGTTTGATATATTTACATTTATTTATTTATTTTCTTCTTATTTGGACTGATATATCATTTTAGGGTCAAAATATTTATTCATTCCCCCCCCAAAAAAAGAAAAAAGAAAAAGAAAATGTCAAGCTTTCCCTCTCTTTATTTTCCAACATTTTTCACATCGCGCTTCTGAAATTCATTCCGAAGAAACCAAGGTGGTCGCACGCTCCCTAAATTTCCCAAGCTTTCCCGCTCTTTACCTTTTGCCGCAGAGCCATGGTGTACATTGCCTCATGGGATGAATTCGTCGAGCGTTCTGTGCAATTGTTCCGTTCCGATCCCAATTCCGTAAGTTCTATCTTCGAAATTGGATTCCCTACATATCGTCTGCTATTTGACTGCTGAGAAATTAACATCACAGATCAGAAATCAGATCGCGTCGGCGTTCTAATTTATCTATCTCACTTGCTTGGTTCATCTGAACATTATCTGCGATTGCGAACTTACACTTGATGCATATGTTCCATTTATTGCATCTTTCGTCGTATTTTGTTTCGTTCTAACTGCGAACACTGCTTTCTTTTTCAATCCTATTGGAAATTTAGACGCGGTACAACATTAAGTATCGGCACTGCGATGGGAAACTGGTTCTCAAGGTCACCGATAACCGTGAGGTAAGGAATTGGTTGTTGGATCATTGATTAACATGTCAGTGTTCTTGTGATTAGTGATACTAAATGCGTGCCTCTTCGGTTCACATTGCAAAATTTTAGCCGTATGGATATCTTATGCCAATGTTTGAAGATGCGTGTTCAGGCTTCGATGCACGTGTATCCAAGTAGACTTGTGATCAAGTTTTCCTTCTATATATGCTTCTCCGCTTTATTCTTCTGTAAAGTGTTGAGTAGACAACCATTGAATTGGATGCGTTGTATTAAATTAGATGCCACTGTTTTATGCAACCCCAAACTAACTACTAGTTTAGAAATCAGGTCTTATATCTAATCCTAATCCAAACCAAAATTTCCACCGACTCTTTTGGTTTCTTTTATTATATTGGCTGAAGAAGTCTTTCATAACCTTTCTAGCAGAAGATTAGGACATGCGAGTGTTTGTTACCATGTTAAGAATCGTTTTCTTCTCTTTCTCATGTGGAAATGTGAAAACTAATTAGGGCAAAATACATGGATTCAAGATTTCAACTAAGAATATGATGATTAAAACTCATATATTGGTTCTTACTTGTATGGGAAATTTACTCTATGTGTGCATTTTATCCTCATGATAAACGGGGACGATTCAATGATCTTATATTGAAACGGATACTCCGGAAGTTAACCAATTGGCATAAGGACATTTGTCAAATCATAATAATATCTTTATTGGAATAGTAGTTCTTATCTTTCTAGATGTGAAAGGTCTACTAATTTTCTCTTTTTCTTTTTCTTTCTTTTGTTTTCTCCCTGTTTGCCAGTGTCTCAAATTCAAGACTGACCAGGCACAGGATGCCAAGAAGATGGAAAAACTCAACAACATATTCTTCGCACTGATGGCCCGGGGACCTGATGGTATTTTTCTTTGAATTTATGTCATTAATGGAGCATCTGAATACTCTGTGAATAATAAATATCCACTTGCTGTTGGCATGATTTTCTAACAAAGTTTTATTAAGATTTGAATCCTTGTAGTCTATATGGATGAATGGAATGAAAATTCTATATTCTCTAATTGAATGAAAGTCCCATATCCTTAACTTTGAGCAACTTGTAAATTAGTTCCATGATGATATCAGTACTTGAAGGACGAGTTCACGTCTCTTCTGAATGCAGATTCGTGTCCGTGAATGAATGTATGCCTGCTTTCTAACTTTGTTAGATTGGGAAAAATGGTTCTCAGTGTGCCTGGACTTCTCACAATCTATGATCTGAAAAATTCAACCCTAGCATTCATGGGCCATCTTTTGTTTATATTTTTTATTTCCTATTATTATTATTTACCCAGAAAACTTTCAACTTATAATTCTAATGTGCACTCGGTTCTACTAGTTGGAATGCTCTTATGCTTTGCCTTTTCTCTTTTGTGAAGTGGATATATCGGAAGTCACAGGCAAGGAGCAGGCTGATGCACAGCCAACCAAGAAAGGGAGGGGGAGGAAGCAATGACTTCTCATTGAATACTGCACGGATAGGTTTCTCGTTGTTCTCTAAACCCATTGATGAATTATAATCTCAATTTACGAATTATTTTGGTTCATCTTCTCATCTTGCTTTTTTCAGAATAGATTACTAGGATTCTGGAGTAGATTTTCCGTATGCCATCTCATTTTTCTTGAAAAAAATTGGTGTGCAGCTCGTTGTCATGCATGATTTTTATTCTATATTGATAGACATTTTCACAAGTTCTACCTCGGTACACAGATTTGTTCATATGCTGCACGATCTGTTAACATCTTGTGCCAAAACTTCATCATATTTTGGTTCAAAGTAATATAAGAAATTTTCTGTTAGCGCAAGTAACAGAAGTAAAGGCACTTTTAAAGAATGGCTTAGACTTCGTGGTGGTTCTGGCAGCCAAATATTTAGGGCTAGATGGTTGTCTTGAGAGACTAGTTGAAACTTCAAAAATTCACGAGTACAAAATCTAGAATGGTCATATGATCGAATTTAACGATAGCACAAGGTTTGAAGAGTTTTCTCAAAGCTTTTTAAAGGAGTATTGTCCTGCTGCCATGTAAACAAGGAGAGGTTCTCCTCTTTTTTCTAATATGTAGACCTTTTTAATCGTTCATATCCTTGATTGTCTGCTTTCAATATAAGAAAACAATTTTGTAGGTACTGTATCCATTGTTATTGAGTGTAAGGCAATTAAATCTATTTGATTATTTATCTTCCATTAAAAAATCAACTGGGATCGAGTATTTTGTTTGGTAGATTATTAGAAGTTGGCAGACTTTGCTTTCTTGTGCCTCCTGATTTCAGATTCAATCATGTGCCTTGAACATTTAACCACTAGGACAGCCCACTGAAACCACTTGAGTGCATGCATATCAAGATTTTTCTTTATCAATCCTCTAGTCTTTACCAAGATGCCCCCACCATCACCATTTTAGCTTTATCTTCAAATCTGCATAGAAGCCACCTTCATTAGTTGCTCTGAGATGCCTTCTCTGTGAGCAGTGCTCTGAGATGTCTTTAAAATTTTCAAAGTAACTTTTTGACCTTTAGTCAAACATCATTGAAAACATTTTAATTAGTTAAAATCATGTTTTTAAGATATAAAAAAAACTAATTCAAGCACCCTACCAGTATTCTATAGTCGATCAAATTGAATGGGAAAAGTACCGAGAAGAATTATAATGGCCCACTCTTCTCCAAAAGATGTTCTGGTGTTTAATTTTGTGGTTGCTGGCAGTTTATAGGAGTTGGAATGTATTTCTTAATACTATAAATGATGCTCTATTCTCTCATAGAATCAATCCATCTATAAGGTCTTATTTCTTCTATACTAGGGTGTGCCTAGTGCCTGAATCTTGTAAGGTTCATTGGCAACAAAATGTATGAGTTAGTCAAATGGCCAATAAAGCAATGTAATCTCAAAAGTTTTTATTTTTTTTTTTTTTTTTTTTTTTTCAGATCAACCACATGTGGGAGTGAGATTGGAACCTTTGATGTTTGGTCAAGGTATCTTGGCTTAACTTGGATTGACAAAAATTTATAGTTCATGAGATTAAATCATTGTAATTGTTTATTAAGATGTTAAATATTTTGCCTGGTTTTTAAGCATAAAATATTAGTGTTAGAACAATTCAACTGTTTCATGAAGGGTTGAATTTCATGTTTGTTTGCATATTCATGATTGTTAGAAACGTATTACAAGGAACCCAAAATTCCAAATTCCAAAAACACAAACTCATCTTTGTAGTCTTGGGCTGGGTAGAAGTATCACACCCTTCCAACTTTATCGCTTTCTCCTTTGTTTCATTTATAGGAATTTGTTCCCCAAGAGTACACATCTTTTTCATTTTTAGCATGCATCGTGTCAAGATTGAAGAAAGCTGTTTTAGTCACTGTCCAGTGAAATCTTCTTGGCTTCTCTGGCCAAGCAAAAACACCACCACACTTTTGTTCTTTGGGGGAGATGAAGTCTCCTTGCCATGTTGAATTTGTTATCCATGTAGGGCTACTGGCTACCGGCTACCGAGTCTGAGCTGCAGCCTGAAGATTCCTTTCAGACAGATGATTATGAACATGTTGATATTTCAGACTTTCCCACTCAATTATAATGGCCACTTTCCAAGGCTGTATTTTAGACCCTTTGCCCCCATTATGAAGACAAAATTCTGGTATGAAGTTCTCAGCTTATTACATTAGAAAAAAAAGACTTAATAGCACTTCTTCAACAAGCCTTTTGGAAAGCCTCCATTAATAACCTTGATGGAACATAGTTGGGTTTGTTGGATTTATCATCTGCTGAAAGCATCATTTTGGATGAGATAAACGTACAATCACATCATTTGAGTTGGAAATGTTTCTTAATCTAACTCAACTAGATTTATGAATGCTCATGTGACGTTCTGTTTGACTTTGACCAGACTAAGTTTTATTAGTTAATAGCTA